AGCCCCGCCAGCCCCGCCATCCCCACCATCCCCCCATCCCCTCTGTGCCAGGGCTCCCAGCCCCGCCACCCCCCCCATCCCCTCTGTGCAGGGCTCCCAGCCTGCCGGCCTTGCTGCCGTCCTCTGACCACATTGGCCGTCTCGCTGCCCGAAGGAGTAGTCAGTGGCCATCCCTCCTCCCTTCAGACCTCCTCCTCAAGATAGTCTCAGGTCCAACTCCCTCAGCTCTTCCCTTCTAATTGCCAGAGGGTATGTGAACTTGAGAGTGAGCGAGAGAGAGAGAGGGAGGAGAGAGAGAGGGAGGGAGACAGAGAGAGGAGAGAGAGAGAGGGAAGAGAGAGAGAGAGGGAGGAGAGAGAGGGGGGAGGAGAGAGACAGAGGGAGGAGAGAGAGGGGGAGGAGAGAGAGGGAGGAGAGAGAGAGGAGAGAGAGAGAGGGAAGAGAGAGAGAGAGAGAGAGAAAGAGAGAGAGGGAGGAGAGAGAGGGGGGAGGAGAGAGACAGAGGGAGGAGAGAGAGGGGGAGGAGAGAGAGGGAGGAGAGAGAGAGGAGAGAGAGAGCGAGAGGGAGGAGCGAGCACACTCCAGTGGGGCGTGGTCACGCAGCACCCCCCTCTCCATCTCACTCGATTTCTCCACCTGCTGGGACGTCGGGTGCAGAGCACACACACCTGTTTCTCTTTTCTTTCTTTTGTTTTTTAAAGAGAGTTTTTCATTATAGGGCACGTGCACTCTCCAGAGAGACAGAAAGAGAAAGAGACAGAAAGTGAGAAATCAGCCCCCAGGGGATGGCCACGCCACACTCCTCCATTCTCCTCTCGGGATCTTTCACGCATGCACACGTGCTTGGTGTGAGATGAAGCTGCCAGGTCTGGGGCTTGAACTGCAGTCGGCCATGTGGGAGTCCAGTGACGTAACCATTACTCCATCTGCTGGGGCCTGAATTCGAACCGCAGCATGTGGGATCCGGCTCCCTTAACCGTCAGACTGTACTGGGCCCTCCACTCATCACGTGTGTGCTTAGACTCCGACGTGGCCGGTGGGCCAGTCTGGAAGCCGTGTTTAATGTTTCCTGCCCTCGCGGTCGCTTTACCCGTCGACTCGGCCTGTTTCCGTATATAATTCACGTATTTACCCCGCCTTTGACCCGCGGTCTGCTCCTGCTGGAGTACAAGCCGACACAGGCACGATGGGGCCACGGCTCAGGCTGTGCACGCTGCCGTCTGTCTCCCATCCATGTCGTGTGTGTGTGTGTGTGTGTGAAGTTTAATGTATCTCCCCCACGGGTGAGCGAGCGAGCACCCTGACGGGGGCGTGACGCTGCACACCACCCCAGCTCCAGCCGGCCCAGGACCGTGGGCACGCACGGCCTGGTGTGCTCAGGGAGGCCCAGACGTGGCCCCGACTCCTCCCCACGTGGGTCAGCTCTCAGCGCACCGGGCTTTGCTCAATGCCACCCTCCGCCCCTCAATGGCTATTGGAATGGATGCTGTCGTTTTAGTGTCAGCGAAGGTTTCGACCCTTTCCCTGCGTTTGGAAGTAGCGGCTACTCACCAGGAGAAGAGGTGGGGTCTGCACGGCTGGTGTTCTCAACTCCTAGAAGTGAACATAAGGAGAAAAAGCAACGATGGGGGCTCCCTGGGCCTTCCCGTCCATTCCCCACGGCCAGCCCGCCCCTGTCTCTTTGGTGGTCTCCCTCCACTGTGTCTCTAGACAGTGGATGTCCAGAGATAGCCTCCCCCTCTCTGGCTGGGGTTCCCTTAGAGTTCCGGCAAGACACGGGGGGACACGGGGGTCTTCCTCACCCGTGACCACGAGCTTCACCGGCTTGCTGGGTAAAGACCACGCGTGGTTGTTGTAGGAGCCGAAACACCTGTAGGTGCCTTGGTGGGCTGTGGTCACAAGGCCCACGGGGAACTCTGCCCGGGTGGTTCCATGTTTTTTCTGCACGTGGCTGGGTCTCCCCTCTTTGACCAGGAAGAATGTGCTTGTGGCGGTCTGTAGATGGCAGCAGAAGGTCACGCTGTCTCCTGAGGTCACCTCAGGCCCGGGGAGAACTGAGAGGGTGGGGACGTCGTCCTCGTCCTCGTACATTCCTACAGGAGAAGGTGGGGGTGAGTGAAGAGCACCCTGCCCGTCTCCTGGATCTGCCCTCGCTTGTCCTTAAGACCGAGTCTCAGTCCCTTCTTCTCCCTCCTGGACTGTCCTGGTCATAGACGTGCCCTCCCTGGCCTCCTTCAAGGAGAGGCACACAAGCCCCCAGCTTCCAGCAGTGTGATCCGATCTCTCTCTGGGAATTTTCTTGCGCCAGTGGCTTACAGATTGGATCTTGGGACCAGTGACATGAGGACCACCTGGGAGCTTGTTAGAAACTCAGACACCCAGGTTCCACCTCAGAGCAACTGCATCAGACACTTGGGGGAGGTTCAGCCCGGTGGCACAGTTAGTGAGAAAGCTGAACTGCAGTGTGGTCGACCGTGGGTCTGCATCCCTGAGGCAGCTTGGAAGCACGTCAGCACACACGTATGCCCGAGACCCTGAGGAGCCAGAGCGCTGGGGAAGCAGGACTGTGGCTGGCAAGATGCCACGGAGCGTGTTTTTCTCTGTCTCTGTGTCCTTCTCTTTCATGGAGGAGAGAAATATATAATCTTTGAAACATATAAACTAGAAAATACAGTTGCAGAATGATTTGTATTTATGACTATAGCTCTGACATAAGTGAATTACATAATAGTCATGATGTTTTATTTTAAATTCTGGCACACTCGCAGGTACAGAAAGGACATTATATAATCACATATTCTCATTGCACGCTACAGCTGAGGAACGAAATACAGAAAACACACACTCTAAAATAATTTTAAGTATTTAAAAACTTTGGCATTTTGTATTTACTTATTGCCAGTGGGCACGTGTGCTCGCCAGAGGCAGAGAAGGAGAGAGAGAGAGAGAGAGGACCCCTCAGTGTGTCATGGTCACTCTGCAGTCCCTTCCCCTCTGTTTGTCCCGGACACCGTGCACAAGTGCCCGGAATGCTTTTCATTTGCCAGGGTTGGGACTTGCAGCGGTCAGCTGTGTGGGAGCCAATGCATAGCACTCGACCGCGATGCCATGGCGTGCTCTAGTTAGGTTTCTGAAATTAAATATACACCATCACTGAATAATATAACACACATTTCTACCATCGTAGTCATCGCAATTTATTTATATCTGCTTCCAATGGATTCCTTTAAAAAAGACATGTAAAAATCTGTCATAGCGTTTTACTTGTCAAAAGCCAGCACACCTAATTTCTGCTGTTCATGATAGAATGTGTGTGCATGGGCGGCGAGCCCCTCTCACACACCTGATCACGGGGCAGCTGCTTCCTCCAGCCCTCCAGCCTGCCATGGTCCTGGGCACGCGTGCCCGGCAAGTGTCAGGCCAGGGGTTCGGGCCCCGGAGGGCGTGTGGCTGCCCGCTCTGCAGTCCAGTGTCCCTGACTCAGTGCGGGCGCTGGGCCCCTTAGCTCTATGCCGCCTGTTCTTCACTGCGATCGAGCGCACACACATACAATTTGCCATCGTAACCATTTGTAAGCGCACGGTCCAGGGGCGTCAAGCAAATTCACCTGTACCACCATCACCACCACCCGTCCCTAGAATTCTTATCTTAAACATGAAAGTCTCTAGTCACTAATGGACCCCTCGTTCTCTCTCCCCCAGCGGCTGGCTGCTGCCACGCTATTCTCCACTGCTGTGATTTCACGGCTCTAAGTACTTCATGTAAGTGGATTATAAAATGCACCTTCCGGCCTCTAGCGTTCTCCACCTTACCGTCCTGGAGGCTCGTCCACACTGCAGCACGCGGCACAGGTCCCTTCCCTGTCAAGGACGGGCCACGTCCATCGCACTTGGTCATTCGGCTACCGATGGACGCTCGGGGCCTCCACCGCCTGCTGCTGCGGAAAACTGCTGCAAACTCGCGTGCACAAAGGCCTCGGTCCTGCTTTGCCCTGTGCGTGCTCCGAGCCGGACTCACATGGCACTCCTACTCTCAGCGCTGGAGAAACTGCCTTGCTCCTTTACTGTCTAGTCATATTTTGTCAGAAATCACCAGAATTGGCTGGTGTGTCCAACGGATGCACTCAGACACTCGGGCTGTCCCCTCCGGGCTGGCTGTTACCTGTCACCACGAGGTCCAGGGTGTGGCTGGGCTCTGACCAGAGCTCCCCGGTCCAGTAGGAGCAGCTGTACTGCCCTGCCGTTTGTGAGCTCATGGCCGAGATGAGGAACTTGACCTGGTTCAGCGGCCCCGGGGTTCTCGGTCTCTCCACGGCAGAGAGGCTTCCCTCGAAGTACAGCTGGAACTCGGCAGCCTTGGGCGCCCCCCGACACCAGATGGCCACCGGCTTTCCCTTGGGAACCATGAAGTCGGGCTTGGCCCAGATGGTGGGTTTGGAGAGCGTCTCTGGAAGGGATAGAGGCTGCAGTTCCAGAGGCAGCCCTGCCCCTCCCCACCTCCTTTCCACCAGCTTGGCTCAGCCTCTGCCGGGGCCAGGTCCCGCCCCGCCTCCCCAGCGGGTAGGGACTTAGTCTGAGCCCAGGAGCGGCCTTGGGACTTCGAAGGAAGGACTCACGCGTCTGGGTGCTGATCCTCCGGCTCAGACACAGGCCTGGAAGACGGGAACCGTGAGACCTGTCCCTGCCACACCGGCCTGATCTCCCTCCCGCACCAGGACTCACCGAGGCAGAGCAGGGCGGCGAGTGCTGGAGGCATAGTAGACCGGGGGACAAGGCTGAGAGTGCGCTGGGGCCCCCGGGAACCAGCCGGGCAGACAGGATGTGGTGGCCGAGGCCCAGCGCCTACTGCTCACACTGGGCAGTTTTCACAAGCAGGGTCACAGCTCCCCCTTCGCCGCTGATCATGGCCTAAGGAGAGGACAGGATCCCCATGACGCATCTGACGACACCTGCGGTCTAACCAGAGCCTCTGACAACTGGCTGCTCCGCTGAAACCCGGCCGGGCGTCTCAGTTCTGCGACATGGAAACCATGGAGAGGCGGGGGCAGTGAGCAGAGCGAGACCCCGGCTGGTGACACAGGGACAGGGGCCTGGGCCTTGACTCCCCCACCACAGCGTGCACACGCTTAGCTCAGGTCGTTGGTCCCATTGGAATGGGATGTTCACACTGTATTCTTCAAAGATTGGTTATAATGTTTTAATAAAATGCCATTTTCTAATTGCCAGAGGGCACATGTGCTTGCCAGAGAGAGACAGAGCGAAAGAGACAGAGCGAGGGAGAGAGCGCGCCAGGGAGAAGGGTGGAGGGGGAGGAAGCACCGTGGAGCGTGGCCATGCCGCGGTCCTTTAGCGTCCACGTCCCCCTCCCGTCGGGGCTCTGGCCGCTCGTGCCTGTTCTCAGTGCGCTTTACAAGCAGCCGCGCCAGGATTCGAACTGCAGTCTGCCACGTGGGATCTGCTTCACTAAACCACAAGGCAGTGGGACCAGCTAGACAAAGTGCTATTTTTAATGGAAATATGTTCTATTTCTTATGTGGGTTTATCCCCTTAGTCCTTTGTAGTGATTGAATGTGTAAATAATCAAAATAAAAAATTAAAAAATTAAATTTTAAACATTTTGATATTTTTTAATTTCATGATTTCTTTTTTTTTTTTTAAAGAGAGATTTTTGCTATAGGGCATGTGCACTCACCAGAAAGACAGAGACACAGAAAGACAGAAAGTGAGAAATCACCCCTCAGGGGTGATGGCCACATGGCAATCCCCTCTCCTCCATTCTCCTCTGAGGATTCTGGGCACGCACACACACATGCCCAGCATGAGTTTTAAGCCCCTAGGTCCAGAACTTGGACCACGATTGACGACGTGGGAGTCCAGCGATGTAACCACTCTGCCATGTGCGGGCCCCTATTTCACCATATCTTACTCACATTTAGTCGTTGTATGCCTCTACAGCTTATTTTTTACTTGGAATGTGTCATTGATCTTTTTTTTTTTTTTGAGATATTTTTGCTATAGGGTGTGTGTGCTTGCTGGAGAGACAGAGACACAGAGAGACAGAAAGTGAGAAATCACCCTCCAGGGGGGATGGCCACACCACAATTTCTTCTCCATTCTCCTCTCCCTCTCGGGATTTTGGGCCCTCACGCACACATGTCAGGCGTGAGTTTTAAGCTGCTGGGTCTGGGACGCGAACCACGGCTGACTACATGGGAGTCCAGTGACGTAACCATTATGCCATCTGTTAGTCCCATGTCATTGTTCTTTTTGTTTAAAGGCTCTAAACAATTTCTTCTTTTTTACTGTCAGAGATTGTGTGTACTTGGCAGAGGGAGGGAGAGAGAGAGGGTGGGGGAGAAGAGGGAGGGGGAGAGAGGGAGAGGGAGAGAGAGGGAGAGAGGGAAAGGGAGGGAGAGGGAGAGGAGAGAGAGGGAGAGGAGAGAGAGAGGGAGAGGAGAGAGAGGGAGAGGGAGAGAGAGAGAGAGGAGAGAGAGAGAGGGAGAGGAGAAAGACAGAGAGAGACTGAGAGAGGGAG